AGCCACAGTGAATCTCCGAACATCCCGAGAGAGCCGACGTGGAGCGGATCAGCAAGGGCCTGGAGGGACGGTGGTAGTGGCCCCCCCCAGCTGAGAATGGCATGAGGCACGAACACACGCAAACCTCACCCAGCCTATCAAAGCGCCCCCCCCACCGAACACCGTTCAGGTCACAATGACACAGAGTTAATCGGATAAAGTCCAGGAACGACCCCCGTGTAGCGGACTGGCCGGCCCGACCCCCCCGAGGCCAAAAAGGGCCACGGGATAATTCCATCCAATTACTGTCAAAGCCTTTCAAATACAGGAACCAGACAAGGTCACGACCCCAGAAGAAAACAGACTGCCCCACTCGAGCAGGACGGCGAGCCCTTCAAACAGCACACCGTACACGGCACATAAAGGTGGAGCGCACTAGCATCATTCAGGTGCAGGTTAGCCGGCCTGCATCACCGGAGAATGAGGTTTTTCAGAAATGCCTACAACCCCTATGCACCAGCTCGCCTAGTACCACTTACATAGTTTTTTTTTTTGGCTTGTTTTGCAATCTTAAGTCAACACGCTTCACGTCCACATTATGGGCAAATATTTCCCCATCTCAGTTCTCCTTCTCATAAAAAAAAAAACAAAAAACATAACTGGGGGAAATTAATGCCTTCGGGCTGTTTATGTCACTCCAGCCAGTCCCACAGCGGGGCGCCTCGCGGAAAACGCTATCTATGCAAATTGACCCCCTCCTGCAATTAGCCCTCGACAGTATCCTCGCCACCAAGCTTTCCCAAGACGGCCAGCCTTAAAGGAACAGTCACCCTCTTCACAGAACAACTGATACCCTTTTTCGCAAAGCGAAACTCAGGAAAGTTACGAAGCCAAATACCAAAGACTAAAGCAGGAAACTCAGCAGCCATACGAAGAATAAAAGTGCACATTTTATCACTGTGCACTCTTAGCGTCTGTTTTAATCTCATGATAAAATCTTAGTTCAGCTATGCTCGATTCTGAAGAAAACACTGTCATTCAACCCCCTGCCACTCACTTGAGGGGACAGTCAAACTTTGAGGCGGTTAGCATGTAAGGCACAAATTAAAACCTAATTAGACCCATCCAAAAATACACAATATGTAAAAACATACAGAAAATTGGATGGGGGGGGGGGTACATTATAACACTGATAGAAGTGACAATGAGTAAAATAAGGACAAACAGACCATGAAACTCCTCTACACACAATTGCTGACCCTGTTCTGGCTTCCTAGCAAATTTTATTAGATGCCCATAAAGCCTGAGACGTCTAAGAGCTCAACCGGAGCTGAAGAGGTCGAATGAAAGATGCAGAGAGAGCAAACAGCCAAAATGCCCCGAGACCCCATAGGCGAACCTGCCCCACCCCCCCACCAGCCCCTAACCAAAGTGCCAGCCGGAAGCAGAACCCCCGCCCCAAGGCATCAAAGGCCGACCCCCCAGTAATGCGTGGAATTAGGGAACAGTGAACTATCACCCTCCCCACAGTCGGTCAGGGTGAATGACCGCACGGTGAGACCAGGGCAATGACCACCCTGGGAGACAACCCCCCCCCCCATCCAAAACAACCTGTATGGTGTATGAAGTTACACCATTACCAAACCGAGAAGTGAAAGCCATGCCACACAGCCTTAATCATTACTAATTACTACAACGCCACATTACTTACATTGCTAATGTTTATGGCTGGTCATTAATTATTTTTACTGCCTGTTAATGTCTAAATCCGTTTTAAACTTTCTAAATGATGTATTCGGGAACTGTAAACTTACAATTTCCTTTGCCATTAAAACACAGTCTATTCTGCGCACAGCAAAGCATGCATGCGGCGGAAAGGTTCACCTCTGGAACGAAAGGCATCCTTCAGCAGCAGCAGAACGTCGGCGAACCGTCGCACGTCACTGACCAGCTGCATGATGTAATCCGGGTCAGACCCCGGCAGATCGGTCCCGATGGATCCGCGGTGCGTGGCCGAAGGGAAGGGGTGCGAGCTGGGTGGAGACGCCACGCCCAGGGGGCCGCCGGTGTCTCCCAGCCTCCACATTCCCGAGGGATCTCCGGCTCGCGCTGCTCCCGTTAGCCGCGGATTCCGAGACGCCCACGTGGGCGGCGCACGGACCCTGCGAGGACGGGAAGAAGCCGTGAAGAGAAGACGGCACCCACAGCCCGCCCCCCACCGGACCCCCTCGGGAAACCCGACATGCATACCCCACCAGACATTCAGAAACAAGACGCCGTCAGAAATAGCTGCAATCAGCTAGAGTGCTGCAGACTTCAACTAAACTTCACAGCAAAAACATTTTACAATTTTAAGTGAAGCAAACACGCAGAAACGCTGTTACCCTGGAGGAAACCCAGACTGTACAAAAACATCACTGAATATGTATACTTGAATTCTATTTGTGATTTATAGAGGGAAATGTAGCCTACCAAGACATCATAAAAAAATAAAGCTATTTTCCTTTCTAACGCTCTACAGAGGCAACCCACATAAAACTGCATTTAACAGGAACTTAATTGGTCCTTTTGGAAAATACCATATGTTTTAACCGCAATGATTTTCTGTTTAACGGTATGACGATGCAACGCAGAAGTGATCAGTAAACGTGAAAAAATTACGGGATGTGGCATAATTTTCTAAGAGGTCAAGTCTGTAAAAGTTGTACCTGCCTTACAGTCACAGGAAAAATTGCGGAGGGCGGCTGTGTGGCATTTCATAGAAAAGCACCTGGCCGGGACGCCCGGGCCGGGACACATGTCAGGGTCACACGTCCACAAGAGGGGGGATCTGAACTGGATTATCAGCCTCAGAGACACAATTCACACCGATCGTACCCCTCGGGGCTGTGAAACCAAACCACGTCACACTTTTAACTCAGCCGAAACGATCATTAGAAGTATCCAGTCCATGGAAAAGTAGACTGGAGCTGATTTTTTAAAACCAAATACTTAACCATGTAATAAATCTATAGTACGGAGTATGGTGTTTGAGTAACACGATACAGCGTAAAGCAGAAGTAACTGTACACAGCAACATAGTATGTAGGCAGTCGTGAGCACCGAAAATATTTTAATGTCTAGAGTTAATATCTAGATTTTGCAGAGTACGGTAAACTATTTCTACTTACCTAAAGCTCTAGGAGAGGTCTGACACCATGCAAACAGAGAATCGGTTCGTTTCCAGACCGAAAACCTTTTAAAACGGCCGCTATTTACAAATCCATTTACTTACTGGAGGTTAAAGACATGCAAAAATACGGACTGCACGAATGCGCGTCGCATATCACAAGCAGACGCCGCAGTCGTAGACGACGTGCGGTTTTACTTTAACACTGTCGCTTGCGGATTCAAAGGAGCCCCGACACACCGTGGTCCTCCAGCCCTGTTAGTCCTTTGATTTTAAAGCAGTTTTTACAGCTTTCAAGTTTTGTCGCTCCATGGATGGTGCAGCATACTCACTTGAGTTGCAATCCTCTAACATTGTTGGAAGAGAAATCTTCAGAACAACTTCCTGTATACCATAAGCAGAAAATAAGAAAAACAACTATTTTTACACGCTTCCAGTGACGAAGAAGGTAACCTCTTCCATCCGTAAGGCTTAAAATTTGGATCTCTGGCTCAGCTAAGCGGCGCGCCCCCCCTCGTTTATCATGTGACACTCGGAGTAACTTCTGATTGGCTCTCCCTTCAGGCGGTAGGAAGCCGCGGAACGTGCGGTTTACGAGGATAGTGCGCTTCTCTCTTTAATAATAGGTGTTAAAAGACCTCTGTTTACCTGTCTGGGGGAACTGCAGCGAGCTTTAGCATAGCCGAAACTATGCAGCCAGTAAATATATGTTGTGCATTCCCTTGAAGATTAAAAACAAGCTGTAATTGCGAACGAAACCCGCATGCTGAAGTCTGAGGATGTGCCACAGGCAGCCTAGTTAACTGTTTTGCTGTTCTGGTCACAAGTTTTTATTTTTGTTGATCTTGCAAAATATTTTGGGTATCGCGGATAACAATTTATCAATATAATTAGATGTTGTGAAAACCCCCAGATAAGATTATAAATTGCAGTGCTAAATAATTCACTGGCTTGGTCAAATCAATATAAAGAGATGTATTCTGATATGATGTTTTGCAGTGCTACATTCTTTGAATTTCATGTCCCTATTTCTGAAATATTTCGTCTTTTGTTATTTGCGCCTATAACGCAATACCACCCTTCAATACAAATAAGGCGTACCTTGACGACATAGTCATACAAAATGTTCAAGGTAGTTCTAGTACATACATCTAGTTTACAAATGATTATGAACTTGTCTGCGTCACGAGTGCAATGAAAGTATGGTAAACAGTAATACCACACTGTGTAGCATGAAAACTGCAAGCAGTTGTGGTATTTCAACCCCGACATATTTCTAACGCATAGACATGTGACCTGTGAAGTGCACCATCCAGTGGAGAAAGTAGAAAATGACATGCTGATTGTGAGTCAAGGACGGAAAACGTGGAACACCCCCGAGATATCTGAACTGCATGATTGATGCCCACGTTATGATACGGAAGCAGTTGAAAAAAGCATATTCCAACATACAATGTAAAATCAATCAGGACACTACGCTGCAACATACAAAAGCATAAAAGATTTTTTTAATTGGTTAAAAATGTATTTTTCATGCTACTTTAAACGTATGCTTGATGGAATTACGTAATGTAAGGGATACATTTTACGAATATAGACAGGAAAATCCGTGCTCTTTAATGGTTAGCCAAATTCTTCAAAATGCAGGCATATTACTACTTAGAATCCAGAAATTAAGCTGGCTACGTGAATTTGTGAAAACATTAAGAAAAGCCACTTCTCAGCTCGTGATCCTCATTCTAAATTGATGCGCCCAGTTCATAAATTTACTTTATAAATAGTTGAATAAAACGCCTAAGGTAACATTTATATGTCATGTAACATAATCGGTATCACTGTTACAGCGAAGTGTTGATTGTTATGCAGTGCATAGGGTACATAGGAGTTGCCCGACAGGTTAGGTTGGTTTCTGCAAGCATTCTTGATGCACCAAAAGACATCTCTGTGAAAATCCCATCATGCTTCTTGTTCCCACCGGCTGATTGAAAACATGGCGGTCATTAGTAAGTACTTGACAGCCAAGAACTCTTACCTGGCCGCCGGCGTAATTCTGGTGTTTTTTTTCTTAAACAGAAGACGGCGCTCAGTGGAGTTGTATGGGTACGTAACACGATTATACTAAAATAAATGCATATGATCTGAAATTATGTGATAACTTGACTTTGGAGAAAAAATATGTATATACTGTATCCAGGAAGTTTATCTCATAAACTGAACACTTGACATTTTTTTCTCCAAATGCCCAACATGGGCTCACAGATTGTAATGGTGTACATTGTGCTCCTGCGAATGATTAACGAAACCTTGATTTCACGGCGAACAGTGGAGGAATTTCCTATCTAGGAATAAACTGAAACGACTGACAATTAATTAGCACAGATGCCATTATGAGACATCGCTGCTGAAATGCTGTGAAAGTAAGCAGAACGATACTTAGGAAGTATATCGCAAAGTAGACTGAAAATCAGCATGAATTTTGTCCAAGCTCTTCTGCTTTCGGCGTTAATAAAAATATGATTTCGCTGTGGAAGACTTCACTGTAAGATTGAGTATTGAAGTATGTGCATTATTGCTTGAATTCTTTTTGAATAATGAATTTATTAATAATTTTCCCCTAAAAACACGAGATTCCTCTAGCTAAATAAAATGCTCGTCTGTTTTCTTTACAGTAAGAAAAACAATGCAGAACAACCGCTGAACAATAATGTAAGTTATTAAAGCGGAAATGCCAATATTTTGCTGCATAGTTAGGAGGGAAACTTTTAGAGGCTGAAAAGTCTCGTGTCATGTTTTTGGAAGCCCCTTCGTGGACCATATAGGCCTACCCCAAATTTATTCTATGTTGGTAATATTTTTTCAATTTTCGTTTTTAGAAAAATGGGAAGAAAGTGCAGACAGCAGTGGACAAGGTGTTTTTCACGCAACTTCTCCACATCGTCAAGATACTAATACCTAAGATGTTCTGCAAAGAGGTAAGTCAGTAGTCAACTGACACTGTCGACTTCTGAAGCTCTTATTGCAGACATTTGTGAAATTGACACAAATTGCATCTTTCTAGTCAAAGATAAAGCCAAACCGATTGTTCTTGGTTAGGTAAATATGCAAAGGAACTGAGGCGTGTTTGTGCATCATTGCTTGCCGCAGTCAGGGTACCTCCTGCTAGTGGCGGCCATGCTCCTGGCGCGGACGTACTGCGACCTGTGGATGATTCATAATGGAACAATGATTGAAAGGTACGTCTTTCCCATATACCTGCCAAACCCTTGTCATTGCAACACACATTTCCTCACCGCACCGACTAACTCTGCTTCTACGTCGTGGATGGCTCCGAGCATGTTGGAAATTCTTTTTGCAATTGATGCGATTTGGGCATCATAAATACTTAAATCCAAACTCTACTTTTAGTGAGCAGCGTTAGTCGTCGCCTGATTTGCCTCATTCTTATTTTCCGTCCAGCGTGTTTTTACGAAACAATGCAGTATCGGGGTTTTTCGGGTGTCCCCGGTTCTGAACTGGCTTTTCTCGTTGAACCTGTTGGATCAGTTGCAGCAGCCGAGATGCCGGTCCACGTGCAAATGCCTGCTGCGCTGCTCTTTCTCCATCTGCTGGTGCGGGTGCGCGCGAGCTTGCATGCGTGCGCGTGCCTACTGACCGGGTTTGTTCTTTTGCAGCGCGATTATCGGTCGCTCAGCAAAAGATTTCAAGAAGTACTTGTTCGGTTTCATCACAACTATGCCATTTGTAAGTGTGCCTTTTCACACTATTTTCACATTTTATACTTATTTTTTTGTTGCGTCCTTTCATACAGTACTTTGTTGAGAATTAAATGGCAAATGTAATCAGTGTACCTGAGTAATTCTCCTTCCATGTGCCATCTCAGGCGTCACAGAAATCCCTGATAACCATATTATGTAGTAAGACTGAATTTTTACAGCAGGTTTGTGTGTGTGTGATATGCAGACATCACAGCTGGCACATTTGATGGAAGGCTTTTATTTGACAGAATAACAGTCCAGTCCTTGTTAGCAGACGATCACTCCCCCCTCCTGGAGGATACTGGGGTTAAAGTGGGTGTTTCACTGGTGTTGTATTTGGGTTTGGGGTGAATTTCCGGGGGGGTTGTGACTGTCAGATACATGAGTGCAGTTATGCCAGAAATAGATAATTGCAGAGCTTGTCATCTCCATGCATTTCCAGATGTCGTTGATAAACAACTCCCTTAAGCTGGGCCTGAACGAACTCAAACTGCTTTTCCGAGCGAGGCTCTCCGCTCACCTCTATGATGAATATTTGAAGTAAGTCTGTGGTGCTTTTAATACAGCGTCTTTTTTAGCACCAGAGTGTTTGCATACTGTTATCTGTTAATAACATAACAATAATTCATCTGCTGTGTAATATAACATTATATTCTTCCTTGTCTTGTTGTAGGCCTGTAATTGTAAGATTAATAAAAATGTTCTGCAAGCTTAGAGTTCTGATGCGCCCCTCTGTAATACCACCTGTTTTAAAGCAAAGCTGTTTCTCTGACACTAAATATTCACCATGTAAAACTCAGAGCTTCACAAGGTCAATACCCAAGGAGAGCTTTAATTTGCTGTCACGTGTGCCCCGTGTTGTCGCATGTGCCCCGTGTCGTCACGTGTGCCCCGTGCTGTCACGTGTGCCCGTGTTTCGTCATCAGGGACTACACATACTACAAAATGGGCAACTTGGACAACCGCATCGCCAATGCCGACCAGCTGCTGACGCAGGACGTGGAGAAGTTCTGCAGCTGTGTGGTGGACCTCTACTCAAACCTCACAAAGGTATCGTCCCGCGACCACCCCCACCCCGCCTGTACCGGTCCTGCATTGATGTTCCGACCTGACCGTGAGGCAAACCTTAACTCAATAGTGGAAACACTTGTTTTGTCAGCCGCTGCTGGACATTGGCTTGTACATATTCAAGTTGTCAACTGCTATGGGCACTTGGGTAAGTGGCAATCAGATTGCACTTTTGTTTTACCTTTGGAAATAACTTTACCGCTAACAACATGGCACGATGGCATGTCTTAAAATTTAATTTAAAGATTCGGTGTCCATTTTCCAACCGTTTTTCATTACACTTTTTTTTGAGGGTTCTCGTACTTAATACCCGCTGAACCGAATCGAGCTCCCTAGCAACTTGCTCTTCACCCCAAGGGTCCGATCAGTCTGATGATCTACTTGGTAGTCTCCGGACTCCTGCTGACAAAGCTACGAAGACCCATCGGCAGAATGACTATGATGGAGCAGAGATACGAGGGCGAGTACAGATACATCAACTCCCGCCTCATCAGCAACAGGTCCCTTCCCTCTTGCCACCTGTGTTCTGTTTGTTTATCTATGAATTGAAATCGGCACTAACAAAGGTTTGTAATCCCCTGAAGTGAAGAGATCGCCTTCTATAATGGGAATGTAAGAGAGAAGAAGACCATCCTCTCAGTGTTCAACAAACTGGTCAGTTTATCCACTCGTCAGATTACCATCGTGTAAAGCTAATAAGACGCAACAAATCTTTGTATCATTGGAACGTGCACAGAGGTGTTGCCTTTTCAGATCTGATATTGGAAGGGTGATTAGCCTGTTTTTTATTTCTTTGCCTTTTTAAGATGCTTTTTCTCACCTTCCAGGTTAACCATTTGCAGCGATTCCTCTTCTTCCGTTTTTCCATGGGGTTTACGGACAGCATTATCACGAAATGTAAGCTTGTCGAAACTACGCAATCCCAACAGTTCCTGTTGTCAATGAGCAGGCTGTCTGTAACTGAGGAGACCAATTTAACAACCCGAGTCAGAAATCTGTGCTGTTATGGCATTTGTTCTGTGCTGATAGGGTCTATCAGGCATGTAATTGAAGTCCTCCCCCCCATCTCTCCCTCTCTCTCTCTCTGTTTCTCTCTCCCCTTCCCTCCACCACCTTGTTCCTGCAGACATCGCCATGGTTGTTGGCTACCTGCTGTTGAGCCGTCCCTTCCTCAACCAGCTTCACCCTCGATACCTGCAGAGCTCGCATGCGGAGATGCTGGAGGTGAGGATACCTGTGGATGCTGGATTAGCAGACGCTGTCAGTATTGCTAAGTGTTGCGCTATTGACTGTCCATAGGAAGCTGGTCATTTTCTGAAGTGCCCTGGCTCAGTATATTGGAGCAGTATGTGGTTCACCAGGCCAGAGCACTGCACCTGTGGCTGGAAGGCCGCTGGCTGAAATCCCAGGTTCAGCAGAGTGATTAAACTGTTGGGCCCCGAGCAAATCACTTAACCCTCCCGTTGCTCCGGGGGTGGGCAGACATATATAAATATATCTCCCAGGGTTTAAGTATCAAAATTTATTTACATCTAGGTAAGTAAATACTATACATAGTATGAGGCAGGTTTTGATTAGCTATTTTGCTATAGAAGATGCCTTTACCCAGATCAACGTGAGTAGCTTGTAATATGAACTACTGTCTGCTGCCTCAGAACGCAAGCCTTGTGTTAAACACTAGGCCACCCTTCAGGTGGTCGTGAAGTTGACAGAATGTGTTCCTTCTCCTCCACAGGACTACTACCAGAATGGGCGCATGATGCTGCGTATGTCGCAGGCCTTGGGGCGCGTGGTGCTGGCCGGCCGGGAGATGACGCGATTGTCGGGGTGAGTCGCACGCTGGTCTGTGGTGACCGCAGCCTGCCACGTCTCCAGGGGCGACACCTTTTCGCATCCATCTGACACATCCTGTGTCTCCTTACCACAGATACACAGCGAGAATAACCGAACTGATTACAGTGCTGAAAGAATTGAATTCTGGGAAATATAAGAGGACCATGGTCTCCAACCATGAGAAAGGTACTTTACTGTTTCTGCTGAACTCTCCATTTTGTGTATGTGCTTATGTATTAAGTTTAAGCTTTATATATATATTTTTGGCTCAGTGGACTCCAAACAAATAAACCATGTTCCTGGAAATGGAGAAGTAATATATGCAGATAACATAATCAAGTAAGTATTTTTTTTTTTTTTTTTTTTGTGGGTTCATTTGGAGACTTTATCGATATGGGTTTTAATGTGGTCTTTGATATCTGTGGCTAGTCTGATCTAGGTGTTTTGTTGCAGGTTTGAGCATGCGCCTTTGGCCACACCCAATGGCGATATTCTTATTCCAGACCTGACCTTTGAGGTAAGTTATTCTGTCATCCACTCGTCTTCCATGACAGCTTATCCCATTCAGGATCGTGGGGAGGCCTGGGTCTCTCTCAGGAAGCTCAGGGTGTAAAGTAGTGATGGCAAAATGAAGCTTCAAGGACCCTTTGCCGTATTTTTTCACCCCATTAGATGGTGCTCTCCGTTTACTTTTGGGGCATGGTTTGAGGCCTTTTTTGAACAGATGGCACCATCTAGTGGGGACAGAAAATACAGCAAATGGTTCATGAAACTTCATTTGTCAATCACTATTATAAAGTATGTTTAAAATTCTTGGTCACTTTGGCTTTTCTCTTTTGAAAAAATTGCTTGTCGATGTGCTTCTGGGCTGTTTTTCTCGTGTCATTCTTCGAATTTCCTGCAACACGGTTTTAGGCTGAAAGTGCATGCCGTCATATTGTCATGCTGCTAGGTAACGTCAGGAACCAACGTTTTGGTGTGTGGACCCAACGGCTGTGGGAAGAGCTCACTTTTCCGAGTTCTTGGAGGCGTAAGTGTGCCATCAATCTCAAGTAATACAGACAATGTCGGATAATTGAATAGTTAGGAGAGCGTACCGGTGATAGTAACTTCTGTAGTAGGTAAGAGGGTGGTGTGTCGGTTAGAATTGGAAGGTTGCTGGTTCACATCCCATGGTCGGCAGGGTGATTTCCCGATTGGGCCCTTCACTGGGCTGATCCTGCTTTTCAAAAATATACGTAGCTTTGGATAATGGCGTGTGCTACATAAATTAAATGTAAGTTATGGTCAAGGCATGTGGATTGATTGCTCTTTTTGATGTTTTGACTGTGCTTCTTCTAAGGCCTCAGATATTCTTCTAACAATGTTGCTTGTGAACTTCAGCTCTGGCCGCTGACCGGTGGGCGCCTCACCAAGCCGGACAAGGGGAAGCTCTTCTACGTTCCCCAGGTAAGATCTGCGACAGTGTTTCTCTACCCGGTCAGGGAACCCCAGATAGCAGGAGTGTGCAAAGACTTTTTCAGGGGTAGCTACTCAAAAATTTAAAAAGAACACCAAATACCTGGTACTGGTGTCCTCGGGGGGGACTGTGTGGGGGTCTGAGGACTGGTTTGAGAAACAAGCATGTATAACATCATCATTCTGCATTCCCGCATTTTCATAAGTGACAGATCAGGGTGTAAATTCATAGGCAGCCACGTTGCTTTGAGAGTAAGAGGTTTGCCGTGTGACACACAGAGACCGTATCTGACCTTGGGCACCCTGAGGGATCAGGTGATCTACCCGGATACTCCTAGTGACCAGCAGCGCAAAGGCATTTCAGATCTGGTAAGTGACTTTTTTTAGCGGGTTTCCAGGGGAATAATGTCCCTCCTCCCCCACCGTACATCACTATAGGTGTCATACCCAGCTTTGTTTTTTCTTTTTCTTGTTTTGACTCCTCTGTGTACTGGAACAGGTGTTGAAGGAGTACCTCGAAAACGTGCAACTCGGTCACATCCTGGACAGGGAGGGCAGCTGGGATGTGGTGCAGGACTGGATGGATGTGCTTAGTGGCGGAGAGAAACAAAGAATTGCTGTGAGTCTAAACAGTGTCCCCTAATAGCGTGATTTTTATTTTTTAATTTTAAATTTTGAATGATTTGTCATATCTATAAGAAAAAACAATTAGGTATCATGTATTTTTCAATGATCTTGAATGTCCTACCTTTAAAGACAAAACATTATTTTACTGACTTTTGAACATTTATGTAAAACCTTCACGTATGTTGTATTTAAAGTGGCCCATCCAGTAAATTGTAGGGTATTAAAGTGATGGTGTAAATAAGATTGGGAGTTTCTCCTTTTACCTTTTGCAGCTTATAAGGCCACATGTCACATGTATGACCCGACAAAATGTAGGGTAACGGCAAAAAATATTATTAAAGTTGAATATTTTTACACTATTTTGTAACGTGTGATTTGTTAAAAATCCTGCCGCTGTTGTTTGAGGTGTTTAGCTTTCGTTTGTCTTCTGCCCCAACCTCTTTGTCTAGATGGCCCGCTTGTTCTATCACAAGCCTCAGTTTGCCATCCTGGATGAGTGCACCAGCGCCGTTAGTGTTGACGTGGAGGACTTCATCTACAGCCACTGCAGGACGGTAACGGCCCCCTCTGACCCGGCGGCCTGTGTACCTCATAGCCCATGCTTCACACCTAAAGGAAACCTTGACGTCTTGGTCTTTCTCCCTCCACAGGTTGGCATTACCCTGTTCACAGTCTCTCACAGGAAGTCTTTGTGGAAGCACCACAAGGTATGAACCCAGTGCTCCATTCCTGGTTATACCTGTAATATGACTCCTTGCTCCCCCATCCCATCTTGCATGTGTCCACCGATCTAAAGCTGTTTATTTAATCGTCAACAAAGCAAGTACCCCATGTCCAGTAAGGGGTTGGAAGTATTGGACAAAGTAAGCCACCATAACTAGGGCAATATAGCCTTATGATGTTATGAGTTTGCCACATGCTGACGCTGAAATTTGTATCCTGCTCCATCGGTCTTCTGTGTGGCATGTGCACACAATCATCCCATGTGGATGATCGATCATGTCGAGAGGTCTCTGTCACTTTAAAAATTAGGGCGTCGCCCTTGGTACTATGTGATCATCAAGCCTGAGGTTTTTATTGGTTAGCAGCATGCTATGCTGAGTTTATGGTGAAGCTGGGTATCCCCTTCCCTGCCTGGGAGGGGTGTTCCTCAGGAAGAAGAGGTTGTTTGAAGTTATCAGGGACTCCCTTTACCCCTTCCGTTACCAAATTACCAAAAGCTCATTATGCAAGTTGTTGGTCTTCCATTGGTCAACATCCAATATATGTTTTTTGGTAGTCTTTAGCGTGCTATTGTGTGCCCGCTCCACAGTACTACCTGCACATGGATGGAAGAGGGCACTACGAGTTCAAACCCATCACCAAGGACACGGTGGCCTTCGGGTCATAGGACATGCGGTAGCCGAAGTGCCCTTCCAGAAGCTACGTGGAAAATTCTGGAATCGATGTGCACAAAATTGTGTTGTATGTTTCCAATGATTTTTTTCTTATTCCCGCAGAACATTTTTGTGTTAGTACAAAGCTCCCACAAGCTCAGTGAATGTATACACTATTTTTGTACCGAGCAAAATGGTTAAGGGGATTTATTACAAATATTTTTAACTGAAATGTATCTGTGGTAGTTAAGTGGGACTGTAATGTTATTTAATAAGGTAGTTGTTACAGCATCCATCCGTCTGTCCATCTCCTAGCCACTTGCACCCTTAAGTCATTGCAGATGTTAGTATTGCAACTTACTTATTTAAGTGTATTTATTTATGTGCATTGGGAATACTGTAACTCCGTTAAACACAGGTACTGTCTTTTATATGCTCAGTCACTGACAAAGCAAAACACAAGAGTTGAAGTAAGTAGTGTGGATAGTATAAACACTACAGTTTGCTACTGCTGAATTTCAACTGTGATTTACATTTGTTTTATGTCCCGAAAACCAAGCACTGTTTTTCGTTTAATTGCTTTGTACGTTTCTGTCCAACAAATTGCGGTGAAGTGACTACTCAGAGAACATTTAAGTAAGTTGAACAGTAGAGGGCAGTGTTTCTACTCACATGCCAGAATGTATTCGAATTACCTCCAAGTTCATTTTTTTTATTTCACTCTTTAGCAAAGCTGGATTCTGTGTATCTTGTATATGTGTTTAATGTGAATGGTGTATCTATGTGGGCATATATATTACATTGCAGTGACCAAATGTCCCCATAATGTGATAAAAACCATTTTTTTCCCTCCCTATTGTTGCGCAATACCGATGTTGAGACCCCCTTAAAATTTTGCTTTTGAGGCTTTCAGGGGGTCTCATGGGTTAATTGGGGGTGTCGGACCTCCCCTATTTCACACACTGGACGCTCCCTAGAAAGATATCAGTACAGGTCTCTGTGTGTGCGCGCATGTGTGTGTGTGTGTGTGTGTGTGTTGTTTTCAATATGTCACACTTTTCTGACAGCCAGAAGTCAGTACACTATTTTTCAAATTATTAAAAGGTTTGATTTGATTTAATATCAAGTCATGGTCAACTTGCTGCTTTTTTATGTTACAGGCTGCTTATATTGTGGCAGGTTTAGGGCCTCTTTGTCTGAGAAGCGAACAGAGCAGCTCGGCGAGGGAAAGTCCCTCCACATGACATGCTTAGTGTCACACCACTGACTCGGACTCACATGTCCCCAAAGGCTGGCAGAGAAACCTAGTTTAGAGTTCTACTCTCCAGATGTTTTTAAATGACTTGTTCTTCCATCTAATTGCCAATAAAACATGAAACATGCTGTGTTCTGCTCAGAACTGCTTAAATACTTGAGGCTTTTCTTGAATTGACTTTCTTAACTATCTGTGAGTGATCTGGAATACTGGTGGTTTACACTAAGCATCAGGAATGGATTCAAACCATGAATCTAACTGAATCTTGTGTTAGGGATGATGTGAAACCAAGACGTGGTCCTTCCTTGGGTCACTAAGCCGGGAAATGAAAAATGGTGTTTTGTGGGACAATATTTCTTGTTAGGAGACCAAATGCCGCTCAGAGGTCATTGTTGACTGTATCTCTGCAATATTTTTCCTTGAAGGGTTCTTGGGGATTTGAATAGACCCAGATCTCCTAGTTGTGGTGCTGAATTTGGATTGCAAGACCCCCCCCCCCGGCCCCTGGCCCCTCCATCCACTGCTTTCAGCCATTAGTATCATGCTGGAATCCCCAGCAGTGACAGTCAGCAGCAGGTTCGGCCCCAGACACATGATCGATTTTCATTCCATTTACCCAGAACACAGTCGGGTTCAGTTGTGCTTTAAGTAGGAAGATAAAACTTAGATAGTAAAGCCATCTGGTTCTAATTCCAAGCCTTCGGGTTCAAACAGAGGTCGTAGCCAATCAAAATCGGTGTTATGAATGCTTTAGACCATCATTATCACGGGGGAGTGGGGGGTGGTTTAAAGAATACTTTCCAAAAACAGAAACGGCCTTTTCCACAAATCGGTTAAGTGTAAACTGGAAGTGCTTCAGTTCTTCCATATGTGGTATAATTAAGCAGGTCTACCCAGAAACAGGGATGGCTTTGGTGTCAGGAAGGTTAATAGCTATAAACGTTGTTTCTGGTTTCTCTTGGGCCTCGAAAATTGGTACCAGCACCCCGAGGAATGTTGTTTAGGGAGTTACCAGTGGGTCTGCCTGTAGCATTCCAGTGCCCCTCCAAATTCCCCGAAGTCCCTCCTGCACAATGCAAACCCTCCCTCAGTTACTTCCGTTCCTCAGGAGCCTCGACATGTTAGGGGGGGTCGTTTCATCAAAGATGTCCGGTCCAGGTGCTTCAGATGACCAGGATGAGTGGTGGGGAGATGGGTGGATGAATGTTATCAGATATCGCACTACATTGCTATATATTTTTTGCTCCAGTATTTCCCAGTCCAGTCCTTGGGGACCTGGAAACTCCACATTTTTGCTCCCTCCCAGACAGTGCAAAGATGTGGACTGTTTGTGGGTCTCCAAGGACCGGGTTGGGAAACTCAGCTTTATACATTATATTCAGAGTTTGTGCAACGAGCAGGCAAGGGGGGGCAGGCCCTGCACGCAGACAAATCCCCTTAAACCAGTCCCTAACCCCACTCCCCACTCTTCGACCTAGCCTTCAGATTACCCCTGGCACTGACCATATTAAGAATGACAGTAACCACACAATACTAATATTAACAAAAAATGTAATATAAAATGTATTGATCCAAAAAAAAAAATTTACTACGGAATTTTAAAAATATCAAAATATACACACATTTCTATTTTAATATTAACAAATAAATAAATAATTAGAAATATAAAAAATTACATCTAAGTTAGTGTTCCTATGATTTACTCTGTTCTGATTCATAAATAACCATTATGGGAATGTAAAAGAGCTTTCCAAAAATCTGTTTTAAAAAACAGCGTAATAAGTGAGTCAAAGTTCATTTAAACGTACCGACTGACCATATGAAGAAAGATCATTTGAAAAGTGAGACACGGGTATTAAAACGTTAACACAGAGTTTCACAGAAACCAAATAGAAAAATTCAGTGCTTGATCAGAGGGTACACAGGCGCCCCCTGGTGGCATTCCAATAGTCCGGCTTTCCCACGGTCCTCAGATCAGCTCCCCTACACAATTTCCAAGGGTTTGCCTTTTTCCTCTTCTTTAGCTCTTTGGCAGCATTTGCAGCACGCCATAATCATAGCGCAGACGGCAATGATGAGGAGCAAGATTATGAAGCATGTTCCTGCGAGTACTGGAATCCCATATTCTGGAAAAAAAAAACGGCGAATGATAAAAAATGACCGCAGTGATCAACAAGCAGATGTCCCAGTTCCCAAAGATTCTGGCTGGTTCTGCAAGCACTGCTTTTCTCTTTGGTGCTAGCACGTCTTATTCTTTCATAACGAGGATAACTGGCATGACGTGATTATGAGATGCAACACTTCAATGCGATAAGCAGCAAATTCATTAGCTTTCTGCTATCCTCTTGTCACTTACTGAGGCAACTTTCACTCCCTAAAATCCTTTTATGAGGTACCCAGATTCATCAAAGATGTTCACGCCAAAGACAACAATATCAAATTTATCAAGTATCTATTTGTCAGCGTCTGTCACGTACCGTCGAGGATGGAAGGTTGCCTGGCCTCAGAGCACTTCACATGGCTGAGATCTCCCAGCTGCATATCTCTGCTCCGAGAGGGGATGTAGGCCTGGACGCTAAAGCAGTAGCTCTCTCCTCTGTCCACCTCTAGCTCAATATGATTGGTTTCAGTTGTTTGAATTTTCTGTGGATGGAAACAAAAAATGAAGAACTGAAATAATAGGACTTAGCCTCAGCCATGCAGCATTCACGATGAGTGACAGAGTACCACAAAACGATCGTGTCTGACAGGTGTGTGAGAGCCTGGATAGATCAATCAGAGGAAAAATGCTGTTGAGAGGCAAATAGATTTTTCTTTCTCTACGTTCATCTGCTCTTCGTGATGCCATGGGTCATTTAAAAACTGATTTAAAAATATTTAATTGAGCCAGTAGTGTGATCTGGTAGCCAAGTGAATTGTTATGGGACTGGGCCACCTGACTTTCTGCTGGCCCGCCCACACTATCATTTCTAGCTCCGCTATCGGTACACAGGGCTTGTTTTAACTAACAAAAGTTCCAAACTTTGTTACTCACTCTTCCAGTGCTCTTCGCTTTTCTGTATACGACTCTGTACGTGAGGTCCTCCTTAAAGATATCCCTCATGTTTAATAATCTTTCTGCGTGGTAAATTGCTGACAGTGGATCGATGATGTGCAGTGTTATCTTGGATTCCTCCTCGCTGTCTTTGATCTCGAAGTCGGGTCTGCCAATTAAAGCTGAAAGGAAAGTTATTTTACTTAAAAGAAATACCGCGGTGGTGTAGGCCTAGCAGTTCAGGTTGTGCACATGCCCAGTGAGTTTAGATGATACATACTGTCAGTGTATGGGCAAAAACTTTCGGATCTGGTGTACGGAAACTCCACCAGGTCGACGGTAAATCCAGGCAAAGTCTCGGACAAGACATCGGCGTAATAGGTGCGCTTCAACTCCGGAAACAGTTTAGTCAAATCACACTCTGTGCTCATGCTCTGGATACAGTTAGGATTTCTCTCTCCTTCCGTGCCAGTGCTGAAATTGGTTCAAGAAGAAGGAAATATATTTCGTCATTTTATTATTATGACACACATCCTCAAATAAAACATGCCAAGCTTTAAAAAAAATCTTCACTAATACTACCAAAAAGACATGCATGCACTCATTGCTGCAAAGATTTCAACTACCCAACATGTAACAAAATATAAATATGTCTAGGAATCGCGTTAAACCAGCGCATTCTTCTGAGAACAGCGTAATAATTGGTGTCCAACAAACTAACGTTTAAAAATCATTAATCGTGTAAAGTAATTGAGCCGTGAGGTAATCCTAACTTACCCATATAATTCCACGGTATAAGAGTAATTTGTAGGTATGGGATTCCATGATAGCAATGTCTTAAAATTGTGGGAAGACCAGGTAATGTCTTTTGCCTTCGGCAAGTAATCGTCTCCTGCAAAATTAAAAGAAACACTAGTTAACCACTGTTATGTCACAGTCATATAATACGTGCATGTATTCAATATAATTATTTACAAAATAACAAGTAGGCCTATTAACATACGCATCGCATAAGTCTTACACTCATTTCGTGTTAAAAATATGATTTCAACATCTTATGAGAAATCGCCAACACCAGCATGATTAAGCGAATTACGTCAACTCATCTCTAGATTTTTGGCTTTGTGATGCATGTATCTAATACTAGTAAATATTCCATATTACCAGCCTGAAGTGACATTACACTCTAAAACATCTAGAAACAGCACTAAGCGTTTGCGATACACTCCAAAGAAAACCAAATTACTAACCTAAGACGTTGCCAATCCCAAAAACTGAGAGAAAAAGTCCCAAGCAAACAAACGTCTTCGTTCTTGCCATATTTTAATCTTCCAAAGTAAAATATCCTGACTGACCGACTCCTCTGTGCGTAAGAAAGTTTATATTGTTAAATAAATTAGAGTTTATCTTGCTTGCTTTAGATACTGTCAAACATGCGCTGCCTGCAAGCATTTATTGGGTAGCTCTTCAGTCACCGCCGCTTTAAATCCCATGCACGCCTACGTGTAATATGTCATAGCATAGGTCCAAATAAGGTTATCCGGCGCTTGGGGAGTGTAATTGCGGTGAGCAGCATTGGGCAAAAATCCCTTAAGTCGTACAACCAGTATGTGAGGTACTTTAATAAGTAAACCGGAATGGGTATCCAGTATAAGTTGTTGTGTCTTATCTGTTCTATGGGCACCGCACGTGCTGCTTTTTTGCCATTTTAGAATTGCTGAACTACTTTCCACGTCCGAAATGAACTGTTCTCTCTGCCTGCGAGAAAACATGACAGCTAGGCAGCGATCACGTCAAAATGTACAGCAATTGCACGTAATAATGTTACTAATAACTATAGAAGAAGAGATTTGTTAAGGTATGATTTAGTTCTGTTATCCACTTTAGATATCAGTGTTAATATAAGTTTATCCACTTTGCAACCTATAGTAATATAAATATTTGATGAGAATCAAAGCCGCAGGGAATTGTCTGTGTGTGACCCTCGATCATTACAGATAGATATAATAAGAAATCGATGCGCGACGCATTAGGAAGTCGCATGTGTATGAGCAAACCACGGTAACTGTGGCTTTGACACACACTAC